GTTTCCTTTTCTCTTGCTGCTTTTACGATTATCTCCTTATCTTTAATCTTAGGTAACTTAATTATGATGTGCCTTGGTGTGTGCTTCCTTGGGTCCAACTTCTTTGGGATTCTCTGAGCTTCCTGGACTTCCTGGAAGTCTATTTCCTTGGCCAGATTGGGGGAGTTCTCCTTCATTATTTGTTCAAGTAAGTTTTCAATTTCTTGCTCTTCCTCTTCTCCTTCTGGCACCCCTATGATTCAGATGTTGGAATGTTTGAAGTTGTCCCAGAGGTTCCTAAGCCTCTCCTTGCTTTTTTGAATTCTTATTTCTTCATTCTGTTCTGGTGGAATGTTTATTTCTTCCTTCTGCTCCAAATTGTTGATTTGAATCCTGGTTTCCTTCCCTGCACTGTTGGTTCACTCTATATCTTTCTTTAATTCACTTTGCATAGCCTTCATTTTTCCTCTGTTTTGCAACCATACTTAACCATTTCTGTGAGCATCCTAACTACCAGTGCTTTGAAAGCTGCATCTGATAGGTTGGCTATCTCTTTATCACTTAGCTGTATTTTTTCTGGAGCTTTGATCTGTTCTTTCATTTGGATCATATTTCTTTGTCTCAGCACTCCTATTACGCTGTAAGAGGTGGAGCCTTAGGTATTACCCGGGGTGGGCAACCCACATGACTGCGTTTTGGTGCTGTGTGGCGGGGATGGGTCCAAGAGGGAACTATGCCGGTTGCTCAGCTCTCACTCAGCTTTCACTCATTTCCCCCCGCTACCCACAAGCAAATTAGCTGCTGTTCCTTAATCACCTTTACAAATTTTCTTCTACTCTTCATTGCTGACATCATAGAGCTTTTCAGGGTTTTGTCCTAGGTTTTATTATTATCTATTTCTATACACACATACAACCTGGAGGATTTCTTCCACTCAAATGACTTCAGTAATCTGATGACTCCCTTATCCATAAATCTAGGCCAAATATAAGTTTTGTGCTTCAAGCTTAAATAGCTAATCATCTATGAGACCAATCCACTTAATGGCCTGCAAGTACCCAAAACTGAACATACCCAGATTTGATTTCTTTTTCTCCCCCCTTACCCCAAGCCTTCTCCTCCTCAAATATTTCCCAACTGGACAGTCACTGATACCTGCAAGCAGCCAGCTGCTATGCCCAGAAACCTGGTAACACTCCCCTAGTCTTCTTTCTCCATCAATTGCCACAACCAAACTTCAGAGTCATTTTCTTCTATTTCAAAAATATTTCTAAAGCCCCCCCACCTTTCTCCAACTCCACCAGCACCACCCTAGTTCAGACCACCAAGCCGCCATTGTTTTCCTCCAGAATTACTGCTGCGGTCTCTTAACTGGTTTCTGTCTCTGCTGTGTTCCCCTTCCAATCACTTCTCTATACTGAAGCCAAAGCCACCTTTTCAAAAGCACTCTCTCATTATGCAATTTCTGTGCTTAAAATCATCCAAACACTCCCTATAGAATAGTTAAGGAAACATAAACATGAGAATACAGTTTAGAAGGTTCTGTTCTGTTTGATCTGGTCCCTGCTAAATCCACCAATCTCAACTCTAGCACCTTCCGCTATTGTTCCCCATCCCTCCACAATGCCACACGCCAAAAAACTTCCATTCCTTAGAACTGCCAGATCTTCTCATGCCTCTGTGCCCGAATCTGTCCCCATCTCTTCTAAATCTTGTTCACAGGTAAGGCTTGAGTTTGTTGCATCCTCCAGGAAGCACTTCTTGATTCCACCCACCTAAATATAGATTAGCTGTCCATTTTAAATCCTCCCATAAACAGATAAGCTCTCTGTACTCCCCATCACAGTATTCCTCACGCTCTTCTCTATCCTCCAATAGATTACAGGCCCCCTGAGGGCAATGACCACGCCATTCACAATCTATGGTCTCATTTAAATTATTAGCAAGAACTAAATAACCCAATTGATACAATGTAGGGTAGAAATTTCAATGGTTTTCAAAAAAACCATCACACAGTCAGGTCAGCCCTCAAAACTTTTCATTGTCATCTTAATTGTCAGTTTATACCTACTTAGTTAGCAATTGTTTGACAACCAACTCAACTAGGGCTAGAACTAGAATGAGATAGTGTAGTAATAATGCTTTTCACAGAGTGGATCTTTAATAAGTGTTTGAAAGGAGACATCAGTCTGATCAAAGAAAGGAATCAAAGTATGAGACAATATGGCCTTCTCAGGCTGTTCTACGTGTCCTCAGCGGTCAGGCGCCCGGCCAATCTTTTACCAAACTTTAAAGCGTGCCTCAATTTGTCATCTGTAGGTCACAGGGAACTGAAGAAATTTTTTTTTTTTTGCAACGGAGAATGGTTTAGAAATAGAAACTCAGGTGTCAACTGTCTAGCAGCAAAATGTAGAAGTACTTGATCTCTGCTTCTCTTCTTCATGCCCCACACTCAAACTCCACTCCGCCCCCCACTGCGTGCTCCTCCCACCCAGGCGCCAGGTTTCCCCTGCACTCACACCCGCCGTCACAGCCACCCAGGGCCCTCCTCGTAGCCTGTGGGTCAGCTCTCTTCCCAGTCTCATCCCCATCCACACAAAAAGCCTCTGGCTGTTTGGAAGCACAAAATATTTAGAGAGATTTTAATGTAAGCCTTGAAGAGTTCCTCCTGTAACACAAACACTTGAGTGATGAGGAAGAGAAAGAAAGGGTCAAAATAATGACCCTTGAGTGATGAGGAAGAGAAAGAAAGAGTCAAAATAATGTGTAGAAACTGCTAGAACGGGGATCCGTCTCCCACTTTAAAACGAAAAATTCCCCTTCAGTTTTCTCCGTTTTCATTGTTCCCTCCAGAGCCAGCGCCTCCCACCAATCGCCGAGGACTGCTTGCTTCAAACCCTGCCACATCAGCAGGGAGGGCGCTCAGCGGCATTTGGTATTTGCATCAGTGTTTCCAGGAATGCTTTTCAAGTTATCAGTTTACTGTGCAGAACAGTTTTTCCTTTAAGTTTATAAATGTGTGCTTGAACTCATAGTTCTCTAATTCTCAAAAACTAGCTGAGCACTTTCATGCCCTTCCAAAAACTGTTCTACAATTTAAATGATCAGACTGACTGTGAATTTATTCTTCTTTGTAAACATCTTCCTAGAACAGACCTGCCGCCCTTCAAATTCCTTCACGCCAAGTTATTTCAAGTCTTCCAAAGTTATCTCCCAAGTCAATGCCCTTACTTAGAATAAAAGAAGAGTTTCTGATAGTTTTTTGTTGTTCCCATTTATTTCCATGAACCGTTTTGTTTGCTTTTGAAGTTTAGAGGAAGCAAAAAGTTAAAGAATATTCAATCCTTTGCTTTATAGCAGCCGCTGATGAGTTAGGTAGAAATTCTTAAAGGGGCAGGACTACGGGGTAGAAAGGAAAAAAGATTAGTAAGGAACTAGAGCCCACTCGATTTCTCTTCGGTGGAGATGGAATTGACCTAAAGATGCCCCCTGGGCTACAACGTTGCCTTTCGGAGGATGGTTGCCTCACTGGGGTGCTGGGCAAGCAGAGGCACAGCCCCAGACCCATGGCCTTTCCTCTGAGCCTGGAATGACATCTCAGTGTGGCTGGGGAACAGGCCGTCCACTGAAGTTGACTGCACTCAGCATTTCACAATTCTCAGGGGTTCTGGCCTCCCACCCTCAGTAAGTTTCTCAAGGTCAAGACCCCAAATTCGAAATAGAAGCCTCTCAAGATGGGCTAGGTGGTTTCCCCGGCTGTGGAAGGAGTTGGGACGGAGGCAGGAAGGTGCTTGGGCGGTGACTGCCTGTAAGAGTGGGGTCAGTGAGTGGACAGCGAGGTCAAGAGCGATCGCAAGGGTGTCTCACTAGAAGGATTTCTGAGTCCAGGCTCAGGATGGAGCTGGTAAATGCAGACAAGAGGTCTGCAAAAAAGAGGAGAAGGAGGCTGGAAACCTGAAGGTGAGGACGTGGATTCGCCACCACAGTCTCAGGAAGGAGACCGCATAAAAGAAGTGTCCTGGTCCATCTGCTGCAGTCATTTCGCAGGGCCAGATAAATCCCCAAAGCCTCGGTGTAAAATTAGCCTCAGCAGAGGGCAGGGAGATGTAAGGATTTCCCGATGGCTTGGTCTGGTCTGGCGTGTTCAAAGCTTGTACGCAGGGCACATCATCCCCGGTGCTGGGCGCCACGCCGCCCTAGCCTTCTCCGCACCCCACCCCCAACAGCAGGCGTCCTCGGACTGCAGCCCAACCTCCACAAACAGAAGCCCCCTCTCACCCTTCCCTGGAGCCAGGAGCGAGAGAGGGAGAGAGGGCAGGTGGGAGAAGGAGAGAGAAAGGAGAGGGTGTGTTATAGTTGAAAAAGTGGGTGCATACACTCCCTAAAGTGGGGGAGAAGCTGGAGAAAACCTGGGCGGGGGCGGGGGGGGCGGGGACGGGGTTGGGGGGCAGGCTGGAGGGGGCGGGGAAGCGCAGCCCGAGCTGCGCCACGTTGCGGGGTCCTGGCTTTCTCCTCCCCGGCCTGCTTCGCGTCCGCCGGGCCCCCTCCACCCTGCCGGTGGCCCGCAGGGCACAAGGTGAGGCCGGGCTGGACAGCTCCTGCTTTCATCTACCGCCTCCCGTCCACTCTGCAGCTGCCCGGCTGCCCAGAGATCTGCAAACTTTGCCCACGTCGGCGTCTGCAGAGCGCTCCGACGTGTCCAAAAGTGTTTCCAAACTTGGAAAGGGCGGGGGAGGGCAGGGGGGGATGGGGAGGGCGGAGGTATGCAGACTGCGACTCAGAGTTTCCCCTTGAAAGCCTCAAAAGTGTCCACGTCCTCAAAAAGAATGGAACCAATTTAAGAAGCCAGCCCCGTGGCCACGTCCCTTCCCCCTTTGCTCCCTCCCCTGCGCCCCCGCAGTCTCCTCCCAGCTGTGGCTGCCCGGGCCCCCAGCCCCAGCCTTCCCATTGGTGGAAGCGCTTTTGGAGGCACCCTCGGGCCAAGGAAACTTTGGCCGTATAAATAGAGCAGATCCGGGCTTTATTATTTTAGCACCAAGGCGGCAGGAGGTTTCTGCTAAGTTGGAGGTACTGGCCACGACTGCATGCCTGCGCCCGCCAGGTGATACCTCCGCCGGTGACCCAGGGGCTGTGCGACACAAGGAGTCTGCATGTCTAAGTGGTAGACATGCTCAGCTTTGTGGATACGCGGACTTTGTTGCTGCTTGCAGTAACTTCGTGCCTAGCAACATGCCAATGTAAGTGCCTTCAGCTTGTTTGGGGCAGGGACGGAGAGAGGTTAGCTGGTTGGGCGAAAGGAAAAGGAAAATCTGAGCTAAATTCTAGGTGCAGCTTCGAGGGAAGGCCCTCAGGCATTTGGGAGAAAAGTGGGGATTGATAAGAAACATTTAACTTATGGTAGAAATGAAAACGTAAGAGGCCCGACTCACCAAAAGTTAGGGAACTTTTCTCTGAACTCAGAGGGAGACTGTTAAGTTGATCTGAATCCTCAGGTTAGTGAAGCTGAAACGGAACAGGTCTTTTCTCTGAGGAGGGGATATTAACAAACGATGTGATGAAGGAAGTCAAGGCCTTAATAGGCCTATTACTGCCCTGATGCCCACCTTATAAAAGTTAAGGTCTGCTGTAGAAAGCCCTCCGATTTAGTAATAGAAAACGAACCCTCTACAGGCTTTGCGTTTTCGGTGTGGTAAGACTTGTCTGGAGGAGGAGGAGGAGGAGGAGAAGGAGGAGGCAGAGAAGGAGGCGCCCTCTGGAGGGAAGACCATGAAAGTGCAGAGGACCAGGCCTTAAGCTAGTGGAAGACTCAGGTTTACACAGAGAGGTGTATCTGCCTTTCTGATTGAAGCCAGTCAGTGGATTCTGGGAAGGAAAATGGACGCTACTTGGAATGGATGCATTCTGAAAAGTAATATTAGCTTCTCAGTTCATATCTGGTCGTGGAAATGGTAACATTATTTAACCAAAATCTGCTCTGCCTTCTGTTGAGCCTGAGAGTTACCTGTTCAACGTGTTTCCAAGTGACAAGCAGACACAGCAAGTTGGGAAATATCAACATTGATCTAAGGCGCAAGAGACTGGGGGTCCTCCCATGACTCTGCCATTAATTTGCCATGTGACTTTGGGCAAATCAAACTGAGTCTTTTCTAAAGTGCAGGGGAGAGATTAGATGGACCCCAAGGCCACTTTCCAGCTGTAGGTTTTATGACTAGGCTTCCATTTCAAGATAAAGAAAACCTGTCTGTGTCTGTCTTGAAAATGGCTGCCAATTACCAAAGATATTACTTGACGGAGTTTGAGGGGTGTCTGGTCACACTCAACACTCCCAAGTTCACTCCATCCACATGCCGCCATGTTTACAAATTGCGTCATTACTGATGCATATCTTCCGTGTGTTTTCTCCCTTCGTCCACTTTTAGTACATGCTGTGGATACTAAGGAGTAATTGCATTGAACATATTCACATTACCAATTCTTTTTTATGAGATCTGAGGGGAGGGGGAAGACTTTGCTCCTAGAAAAAAGATGAAAACAGACCTAGGGAAGTTTGAAGATACAAAAGGCAATGCACCTTCTGATCCACAGCCAACCATGGTCTGGAATAAATGTTACCAAACACATGTACTTTAAAATGGCTTAGTCTGAGTAATTAAAAGTCAAATTTCCAAAATCATAAGGACTTCTGTTAATCAATCCCAGGCATAATTATTCTTCCTGCTGATGGACACAATAAAGTAAACATATCATTTATCTAATTTAAAAGTAATTTTCATAAATTGCCCTTAAATGTCAGTGCTGGATGTGGTCCACCCTCCTGAATTGTGACTATTGCAACAGATGTTCTCACTCCAAATGACACATTTCTTGGCCACCTAATTAAAGCAATGTTTAGGGGTGATTCATCTTATTGCCAGCTTGGCCACACTTAAATCCTGTGTTAACCTATACTTATACTGTAGGGGAGGGATTCAGTCTTAAGAATCTATAGCAATTATGGAAAAGGAGGGGATAGTACTTTAGTGTATTTTCCCCATTATTTTTCAAGCTTTTTAACCCACAGTTTTTCTATTTATATAGACCAATTCCTTCTAAGGGGAAAAAGTGATACATATTGGTAAAGTGAACTCAGCTAATTTCAGTGAACCAATTTAAAGCAAAATTTCAGATGTCCAAATGAATCCATTTTCATAGTGACTAATTTGCCAATTAGACCTTTTGAAAAAGGACATTAACAATGATACAAATTCAGTGAAGTACTAAGTAACTTTCATGTTTTATAAAAACCAGAGTCTACTTTAGGTAACATGCTTTCCTAAATTTTTGGTTTTTTATATTTTATGTATCAAAAATTATCTAAACCATAAATAATTTCCTCATCAACCTACTGGTCTTGCTACCTGTGCACTTTACCAGCTTAATTAGTAAGCATTAGAAATATCCTTCAGATATTATTATTACACCCATTTATAAAACAGTAAGTAATTAACTATTTAATTCAAAATAGTTACATGTTAATATTACATGCAAATTACCCTGCTGGTCCCTACCATACTTTTGATCTGCATAATTTCCAAGTCATTAGAATATCCTTAATCAAAAATACAATTGGGTTTTGAATTAGGTAAGCCAATTTTATAGACTAATATATCTATTTGGTAATCACTGCTATTGGTCAATGAAATAATACTAATAATCATTTTCTATTTTTCCCTTTCTTTTGCAGCTTTACAAGAGGTATGTAAAATTATTTTGAGAATTTGGTTTTTTATACTTGGCTTCAGCCACAGCAATGTCCTCTTTGGGGAAAGAAAGGGAGTCTGCATTGGTATTGACTAACCTGGATTGCCAAGAAAATCATCAAGAGTTACATGTAGTCAAATCTTTCTGGCTGCCTTAGAAAGTACCCACCCCAATTTCTAAAATGGGCGGAGCTACTGAATAAGACCAGTCTCATAAGAACACCCATAAGAAATAGAGAGTAAATAATCCAGTGGAAGTTTGGGCTTTAGCATCATCTACTACAAAGCAGAAGACTTCATAGCTAGAGAATCTTCTTCACATTCCCCTGGAATCATTTGCAAGAGAATTATGAACAAATTCTTAGTTTATGAATTGAATTTGAGACATAATTATAGATAAGTATATATTTTGGTTATTTAGATATTTTATTTAATTTATTTGTAAAATTTATTGTACTTTGAGATATTAAGATAATCGTAATGCACTATATATATTCTGTACTATATTTGTATACTACATGAAAATGAGATCCATTTTAAAATACATGTATACAATTTTCCTCATAATGATCTTTTACTTATTCTTTTCTAGGGAACTGCAAGAAAGGTAAGAGTTCAATACTTCTCCATAATATCTGAAATGATCAGTGATAACTTTAATTTTACCAAATTTATAGTAGACTATAGAAGAAAAAATATTTTGTCAAGATTTGCCCACATAAATATGCACTCACTAAACCATAAAATAAAGTAGCTTTGATGTTTAAGATAAAGTTTTATCTTCCGGAGTCATCTCTAATTACACTTTTATTATACAAACTGGTGATCTACATACTAAAGAAAAAAAGACTTGTTTCTATTCTGAAGATGAAATGACTATTATATTAATTATGGGTAATAGATGAAAGCTTATTGTAAAGGGCTTTAACTATAAAAATATTCTGTTAATGATGTAACAAAATGGTAATTTTATCCACAGACATCATCTTTCTGAAAATAGTGGTTATAATATTGGCCTAATGACTGGAGACTATAGCCTCCAATATCCCAGTTTTTAAAAATTACATGTAATTATAATAAAAACCATATACTCTTATCTATTGTATTGTTCTATTTTTATAGCAATTGTCTAATAACATTGTGGCTAGATCAGTCTAACCAACTAATTTTTATCAAGAATGCTTTGCTTGTTCACTGGAAATTGCTTAGACATTTAGAATTGTGCTATTTGTATCTTCCTCCTAGGGCCCAACTGGGGATAGAGGACCACGTGGAGAAAGGGTGTGTAATTTTTGAATTATTAAAGGGCTTTGTCCATAATTGAATAATTACATATTAGAACTACAGGAGACTGACAATTTATGAAAGTATTATATATCCAGATAATTGTACCACCTTTTAAGCAGATAATGCCCTACAGAAGAAGAGGTGAATGAGCATTATTATATATAATCAATATTCTTTTCAGGTCAAGATTATCCTTCAAAAAAGCAAAACTATTACAGACAGCCATATTCTTTGTATGGTCTATCTTTTTTTGTTTTTAGTTGACCTGTCCAACACGGACATAATGAAATGTATCTACCTACCACCATATAGTCCTTAGTTTTTTAATGCATTTGTTTGCTGTTCAAGTAAGATATCTTATGTAGCCTGGGGATAATAGTGAAATAGCAGTCAGCCTGTCATAAATGTGCAAATCAGGCTCACCCTGTATTCATGGTATGCTCAGATCTCTTGCTATGCTTATTTGGCATGCATGGTTTTGCACTATCTGACACTTCTGCCAATGTATAAATGCCTGTATCTTATATCTAAAATGCAGACTTAAATGTATTCCACTCAAACAATTTACCAGAGGTAGCATTATGTCGGTAAATTACTTTAATGAGATAAATAGTGTTAACGGTAGGAAATCTGCAGGATTTTCTACCCTGTGATAAAATTACTTTATTAATTATTACATTAACTGATCTACTATATACACATAACATACCAAAACAAATGAATAAGTTCATCACAATCAGAAACTGACAGTCAATATACATAGCTCATCACTGTGCACTGTTACCCATGTGAAGTTTATAAAATCACCAGTTTTTGCTATAATTTCCATCTTTATTTGAATACTAGAGCTGCATTATGAGTTAATATTCAATGGCTGAGTTCCCCTTCATGGAGAAACTACCCTGTCTTGTATCTTCTTCATATATGTTACTAAACCTCCTTCTGAAATAGACTCATGTCATAAGTCAATTTCAACCACTGGCAAGTACGGCATATTAAATTTCCACACCACTTGCTCCTTGAAAGATCTAAACAGCTGATTTTACCACATGTATCCTTAGGTTATCTTTTTCATGTATAAGTTCTGAAGGGCCTGTCTAATCCCAGCCTGCTTCCCTTTTTCCATAACAGGGTCCACCTGGCCCGTCAGGCCGAGATGGTGATGATGGGGTCCCAGGTCCTCCCGGTCCTCCCGGTCCTCCCGGCCCCCCTGGTCTTGGCGGGGTAAGATGTCTTAAGTATTGCTAACTTTTAGCGAACTTTGATTTCTTATACCTCTGTTGGAAGAAGGCTCGTTGTGGAATTTATTTGGAGCCATACACTTGCCGTGTGGATATTAGTATACTTCACTGCATTTCTTTGGGTTCCGCTCTCAAGGTTCTGCTCTGCCCGTTCTCTTTGTGAGCTCTTGCCAATTACAGGACTGGTCTTTGTATTCACTGAAGGTAGCTGCAGCCCTCACGACCATTATTTAATTTGAGAATTTAATATCTTTTATCAGTAGGGCACAAATAAGAGGTGTTGCATTATTAAAGAGTTTGATTAGATTGAATTATAACTGAAATCCTTGCTCTGAAGCAATTTCGCAAACATCCTACTCTTTTTATTCTCCTTGGCCTGAAGTCTGCTAAACCAACATTCAAGCAGTTTTAGGTTTAATTTGCTTGAAACTAATTTGAGAAAAGTACATTTTCCTTTTTCATTAATATCTTCTTTTAGCTTTATGTCTTTAACAATGGTATGAGTGCCAAATGGCCACACTGCAGGAAAGAAAACATATTTGCTTAATTGGTTAGCAATATGAATCAGAAGCCTGATTCCAATACTCAACTGTATGCTGGTAAAATAAGACCTTTCTCCCCCAAAGATCTTATTATGATTGCTTATCTATTGAGCACATTAAAAAGCACCTTCTTTAATAGATCTACCGCTATAAGAGAGATCTTCAACAGTAAAGTTATTACTGTGAACTATTTTTTCAAAGTTTAATCTTTAAGGGGCATTTTAATTTCATTTTCCTCTCCACTTGAGAACTTTTTATATCTTTTTGAAAGTAAAGCAAGAAGAAGTTCTCTTAGTCATAGTGTGTAGTTATGGAGAAGGGGGGGGCAACAGGTAGAAAATGCAGAGTGGTCCCTGCTTAATTTATCTGGGGGCTTCAGTGACTTTTAAAGCTTCAAAATCTCCCCTTCCTCAGTGTAGAGGTTGGGGGTGGGAGAGAAGAGAGGATTAACAGGGTAGGAAAGGGTTTGAAAAATGAAGTAAAGAAGCTCCCACTTCAAACAGAGTGCAGACTAAATCTTCAACTTGTATTTCCCTGACTTTTTAGAAGTTTGGCTTAGTATAGAATTCTAAACTAATAATTGCATCAAAAATATGGCTCCCTTTTAAACAACAACAACAGAAAAACCTTTACCAGTAAAATAAGAAAATGAACTACACGGCTGGTAACTGTAATATTTATATGCTTATGTTTCATATTATATATATGTTTTCCTTCCCTCTAGAACTTTGCTGCTCAGTTTGATGGAAAAGGAGTTGGAGGTGGTCCTGGACCAATGGTATGCTTCTCTCTTTTCATCTTAGCCAAAAAATTACTGAATAGAGAATTTCTTTTATGTTAAATTTCACATTGCCATTCATTTAGCTACTTAGGTTAGCCGTCAATACTTAGATCAGATAAAAGCAGCACCTTTTCTTGTATTCAAATCTATAAAAATCAAAGTCTAGTTTAAAGGGGTTTAATTTTCCCTACAAACTTGCCTCCTTAGAATAGATCAGATATTTATATCGAACAAATAATCTCTAGACACAGTAATCATAATTCAGGTAAATCAACCTAATTCAAGAGAGCGATCACTGTGATTAATTTTTTTCACATCCTTTAACATAATTTACAATTTTAAGCAACACTTAGAGTCACAGAACTATTAAGTTTTATAACTAGAGAGTTTAAGCCCTTTCCAAAGGTCATGCAAATGGTTAATGACAGTCTAGGACTAACCTCCAGACAAGATACCTGGTATTAGATGGCATCATGTATCTAGTACTTGAATAAAATATTAATTTATTCAACAAATATTTATCAGGTGCTTTGGATGAACCCCAAACTATATTATGCATTGAGGATATAACAGTGAATATGATATATTCGCATCTTCCTGCAAGGAGTTGAAAATATAGGTGTTTCTTTTTATTCATTTTGATAAAAATTCCTTTTTTAGTCTATTAATTACAAATCAATATAGAAGAGAAAGAGAGTAAAATTTAGCACTTATATCACTCAGCACAAATATTTATCAATAATCCTATCATTTTAGTAACATTTAGAAAAGCTTCCTTTATGATTATGACAATGATAGTCTATCTTTAACACATGAACCATTTAACAGGCCTTAGTGAGAGTTGTTAAGGAAAAAAACCGATGTCAGCATGTGAAATATATCCTAGTATGTATAAAATAGAAGGAAAATACTTTCAAGTAAAAACATTAAGATGATTAACACTACAGTTTAAGACACACGCACAATTTAGTGATTTTTAATTAATTGTTTCCAAACAAAGGTATTTATCTGCCCAAAGTTAACATGGTCTTTGAAAAATAAATCTTACCTGGACAATGTATTCACTGCTCTATCTTCGAAAGAAGATGTTTCACTGGAGCTAATGGTCCATAATAAACTAATATGCTATAAGAGCAAGATAATATTTTCTGTAAATTAAAATTCTCACTTGAAAGTAATGTGCCTTTAATTGATGATCTGCAATTTCCTGACTTTTCCTGGTAATTTAAAACATTCATATAGGAAATGAAGAATTAGAGATTTTCTTTGGCTTTGTTTATACTGGATATTTGAAATTAGCTACTTCAGCTAAGGCTGGATATTAGTCAGTTTTAAAGCAGTGCCTATATTTCAAGAAGAAACAAAAAGGGAAAAATAAAGCACTAATAAAAAAGAAAGCCTACATAAGCCCAGAAAATTAATATGGATTTCAGCTTCCCTGACTTTGGAACACCTCTCTGGGGGGCTTAAAGCAGATTGTTTTACTTTTAAATATCAATAAAATATAATTTAGGCTTGCACATCCACACACATTCACAGACATATGTAATCAACAGATATGTGTTTCACAAATAGGAAATATAGGCAGCAATAAAGTATTAAAATAATTTTCCATGTTGGAAAATCAATAACTATAAAACCCCACAGGGTTCTCCTCTGAATTAATGAATAATCATTGTCTGTCTCACAGCCTCCACAAAATAAACTACTTTTTATGTAAATGAAATTGTTGCAAATACAAGGAAAAATGAATAAATATAATTAAAAATTCATGCTGTCAAAGAAAATTATTTTTTAATGTATACCTAAAAATTATTTGGATTGAAAAGTGACAGTTTCTTTTAATGTCAACGCAATTTCCAAAACCAAATAAATAATTCTTATAATTAAGATGATGTGCTTTTTAATAAAATTCATATTATTTCACTCTAGGCACTAATACAATGGGGCAGACTGACAGCAGAGTCCCATGTGTCATGAACAAATTACCCAAGACTTGCCTGTGTGATATTTTCAGCAGTAGAGGCCCCTGCCGAAGAGCTTGCACAGGCATTGATGACTGTGAAGGGGAGTCAGGAGTGGATATTTAGCTTGCAAACTAGTAACGCTCAGCTTTACTCTATGGGCAACAGAGGACAGAACAAAGAGGAGAACAATTGGCTGTCATTTGGGCCATATTTTCAATAATGATATTATACAATAGACGCTTCCAGTAGGGCGTTTCAATAATATTTTACTTTTCCTTTACCCCTCATTACATCCACTTTTGTTTGACATTTTCATCCATCACCAACAGCACTTAAAGGGGCTATACTCTCATAAGGTTATAACAAACCTCCTTCTAATCATTAAGAAGGATTTTTTTTTTATCCTTTTCAATGTATGCCCCTGTGGCAATAAAAATACTAATTTCCTAGCTAAAGATCACACAGGGAGATGACATATGATCAAGGGACTCCAAATGGAAATGTTTGGTCAACTGTGTAGAAGGCAGTTGTGTATTCCGACTGTGCAAAGACTGGTTCACGTCATTGCATTCGAACAATCTCAGGATGCCCACTGAGCACAACTTTAAGGACCCCGTGGCCACCGCCTCCAGTTCGCATTGAGTCCTCCTGATTTGGGTTAGTAGAAAACAAAAGGCAAAGGCAGAGTAATAGTGGAGGAAACTGGAGTCCTTAAATGCTTCCTTTGGGAAGGACAAAAACTGAAATAAAACCTGGACGATTTGGTTCAGCTGTCCATCACAAGGTGTCTATGGCACTGCTAAGCTAGTGCGATCTAACACTTACCGAGGCCATGGCAACTTATCAGTGCTAACTCTGTGTGTCCTATTTACAGGGCTTGATGGGCCCCCGAGGCCCTCCTGGTGCAGCTGGAGCCCCTGTAAGTACCAAAGGCTTATAAATTGCTTTCATGTAAAAAGACCAAATTAAATGAAGGCTTGGAGTATGACATGTTGTTTGCTCTTAGGGCCCACAAGGGTTCCAAGGACCTGCTGGTGAGCCCGGTGAACCTGGTCAGACTGTGAGTGCATTCTCCCCCTTTGTGATAAGTATTTTTTTCAAAAAATGCATTAATATATCCTTAACAAAATGATGGGTCTCGCACGCTCTAGGGTCCTGCGGGTGCTCGTGGTCCACCTGGCCCTCCTGGCAAAGCTGGTGAGGACGTAAGTATTTACCCTTGAGCATTTCCAAATGCCATTTAAACCCTCCTGCCTCAATGAGAATTTCTAGATTCAAATGACGTGTTCTGCCAAGAGCTGATTATACCCAACATAACTGTCTCCATATGGAAAGTAGTATTTTGATGAAATATGAATTAATTGAATTATATTTAAAAATATAATCATTAATTAAATATATATTTGGATCCACATCTTTATGTGATGCCTTTTTCTCCTGTTGTAAAAACCAAGATGCCCCGTTTTCATCTGATAGTTTGCCAAGGAAAGATTAACCCTGTGATGCTCTCATGTTTTAGGGCCACCCTGGCAAACCTGGACGACCTGGCGAGAGAGGAGTTGTCGGTCCACAGGTAAGACTTTTTGTAACAGTTACATAGTCCAAACATCAAAGGCATCTCACATGTAAGACAGCGGCTAAAACCAAAAGCAGTCTACATGACAACACAGATGTCTGCATACCTGTAACACTTACTGAAGGCATCTGGCAAATAAGCATGTATAGTTTTTATTAATGCAAATAATGTACTATTGATGGCAGAAAGTATACTATAAACAACTAAATGGTATTTCCTACAAATACCACAGTATTAATTACTCAAATGGAGCAAGTTGATTTACTGCCCTGTGCTTAAAAATATATTAGTCTTTGATTCAAAGCTTGGATTTTGATAAGAAGAAATATTTTGGAGGGAAGAAATGATTGTCGTTTAACTTGAAATGAACACAGTATTTATCATCTGTGTTTTTTTCCAAGGGTGCTCGTGGTTTCCCCGGAACTCCTGGGCTTCCTGGCTTCAAGGGCATTAGGGTAAGCACATTATTTTCCCAGGAGAAAAAAATGTGGATTTTTTTTTTTCAGAAAAACCTCAACTGTATGTAAACTCCTGCATGATGCATATTTACATCCAAAGTCCTAGAGTTTGCCAGAGTAAAGAGAGATTCAAAGAGTTAAGGATCTCTGGAGAGTAATGTCATGTGTAGTTTTTTTCAGCCTGTTCATGGCTTCCACGAAACAAGGATCCCTGCAGAGAAAATTGTACAAAATGGCTTAAGAGGTTTTTACAACAGTCTAAAGACAGTAAAATTATTAAAGATGGAAAAGACAAAAGAGAGCCTCTCATGTTACATCCTTCCCTTTCCAATGCAGGGAGCCTTCTGGGGGCAGTGGAGGGAGTGTGCTGGGGACCCGGAGCCCTGGGGCTTCCTTCCGCTGAAGCTGTCACAGGGCTCACCCAGGAGAGAGCAACTGCAAAGACAGGAGATGTTGGGTTTGACCAAGCACTATAATGGAACAGCATTTTAATAACGTGGATTTGCTTTTCAGGGACACAACGGTCTGGATGGGTTGAAGGGACAGCCTGGTGCTCCAGGTATTAAGGTAAATACTAAATCAGAAACATTGTTTTTACAACAATTGATTATAATTTCCCGTCACCACCAGAAAGTGTATTTTGACGGAAGGCTACTCGTAATCCAAAGAGTATCTTATTCCCTCTTCTGCACTTTAAATCCCTCAATGGTGGGGACTATGGGATTCTGTGTCAAAAGGCCAATTACTACTAATATTTATTTAATTCAATATCTATCACACAATTGATATAAAAATGTCAATAGTTTTTTCCTCCATTTCCTTTCCTCCTCCTCATTTCAGTCAATCTCTGCAGCCAACATAAAAGTAAATAAACATATAGTCAGATATTAGGACACTATATGTTACTTTAAACTGTAAATCTCCTTTGTCATGCACTAATTAGATAGGTACATTCATGTCACAATACACTTTTCAACCTCTTTCCTGTGATTTATCTGTGCACACTTAAAAATGTTTTAATTAGGTAATTAAAGTCTCAGAAGTGTGTTATCTCTTGGTTAGGCTCTTCCCTGACAGCGTTTTCAACTATAAAATGTTCTCTCTCCTATTAAAGAGATAATGTGATATTAAAGTGAATACCAACGTAATTACAAATTAATGAGTAACGAATACTAGCGGGACCAGAAATGAACATGAATATGGAGAATCTGTTCTAACTTTCCAGCTGCCACACAAATGGATAAGGTCAAACTCATTCTCCCTTGAGCCTAATATAATAGCTCAAACTACTAATCACAGCATCATAAAATGTTAAAGCTTGCAAGGAGCTCTGGAGACTTCCTCATTTTGCAGAAGAGGGAAACTGAGGCTTAAAGAAAATCAGTGATTTGCCTAAAGTCACATCTAATGGTTGGAAGCATAGAGGCTAGAATTCCTGACTCCCATTCTAGTGCCTATTTCCAAAGAATACACGTCACATAGAATCCTAGAAATGAAGGGTCCTTAATTGATCTCTTAAACCCTGTTCCTTCTATATCTAAGACAGATTATCTTGAAGGAAATTTCTTTTTGCATGTACCATGGTCTCAGATTAAACCACCGCTACCATCACTACCATCATTTTTACTTAAGAATATAGATTGGAAATAAATAAGACAGCTTGAAAGAAATATTATGAAGTTCAAATTTTCATGTATATTTTACAAAATAAAAATATTGAGTGTTAAAAATAACTTTAGAAAGGGTAAACATGGTAATATCAAAAGCTAATTTATCTGCTACTACTCTTTTTATGATATCATTCCAAATATATAAGCCCAGTATAAATGATATCCAAGATCTATGGGGAAAACTGGGGAGGGGGCAAGTAATACTCAATCACATCTCCCTCGCACTGTGATATTTGGTATTATCCAAATAAAAACCCATATTTTAGAAAAGTTTAAAATTTATGTTTGTCATAATTAAGATAGCCTATATGTATAAGAAATGTTGCAGAATATATGAATGGTTCAAATGGAAATAATATGGTAAAAATTACCATATATGTGGAAATTTATACATATAAAATTTAATAATGTTATACTTATATATAAATTTAATATATTATATCTATATAATATATATGTAAAATTTATATATATATATAAAAATTATAAAACAAAACCTCAATTGTTTTCCATGTAGGGCGAACCTGGTGCCCCTGGTGAAAATGGAACTCCAGGTCAACAAGTAAGTAAGAATTACTTGATTATAAATCTAAGTCTCTACACTCTTTACAACCTGGAACTGCTTTAACGTTTTTGCTAACTACTATTTCCCTCAGCGTTATATTCTTTGATAATTTTCCAATAGCCATAATAGCCTTCTGCATACTTACTTGAAATCTATTACTTTGTAGTTGGAATTAGAATGAGACCTATTTATTTCTAGTGAATTCTTGGCACATGTTGGAAATTGGACAAAGCAAATGATGCTTGTAACTTAATAAAAGTTAGCATTCTGGATTTCACTGAAAGTATTTTTGCTTTTAGGGAGCCCGTGGGCTGCCTGGTGAACGAGGACGAGTTGGTGCCCCTGGCCCAGCTGTGAGTGCTTCCGTTTTTGTTCATTTTTATCCTTTTAAAAGATCTTCCAATAATTGCTATTTAGCTTTCCACTTGACTTTTTCTGTTTATTTTCTTCATAGGGTGCCCGTGGAAGTGACGGAAGTGTGGGTCCTGTGGGTCCTGCTGTAAGTTTTGGCATTGACGAGTGTGTGATGGAAGTTGTCTTCTTTCTTGACTCCCTATGAGATATCACCACTTTAGGTAGCTTGCCAGGTGTTCAGTGGGTCTTTTGAAGATTCTAATCATACATTCTATCCCTGGGCCTTTTGAATGATTATACATAAAGTAAAATCTACTCTACCTTGGATACCTTCATTGTCTTCCTTTTGCTAAGATGCTGACAACAGACTAGCTGTCAGTTTTTTCTTTGCCAATAGTAAATAAAATCAAGCCTCTCTAAACTCTTCAATATTCTGTTATTGTTGTTGTTGTGCTGCTAATTTACTGAAAGCAAATTTCTTACCACCCTCTACTTTGATTTCAGGGTCCCCTTGGGTCTGCTGGCCCTCCAGGCTTCCCAGGTGCCCCTGGCCCCAAGGTAAAACCCGGGTGACCACTGTTATTACCTTGATAAACTTTTTATTGTGATAGGCAAGACAGACCCAGTGTTTGCAGGTAGATAATTTCAAAACAAATACCTTGATAGATACAGAATGGCCAGTTTCCCCACTCCAACTTTGAAATACATCATCTCTGCACTTAAGCACTACAAACATACATAGAGATAGCAACACAGAAAGTGATTCCATGGGGCTCTCTGAGATATACCCCCAAACCAGTCAGGGTTGACTAGAAGAGAATCAGAGTCTCTACCATAAAGAGACAGAGGTAGGTGAAGGCAACAGTGGTAGCCAGGATGGCAGACCCAGGCCAAGAAAATAAGAGCCCAACCTCAAATCTTGTGGTACCAGACCAGATAAAGGATATGATTGCAATTCTGAAGAAAATTCATAATATTTGGTGTCCTAAAAATGGAGATGTGCTGTTTCATTACTTGCTGGCTAATGCCCCAGTGTTGTTCCCTCTTTTAGGGTGAAATTGGACCTGTTGGTAACCCTGGTCCTTCTGGTCCTGCGGGTCCCCGTGGTGAAGTGGGTCTTCCAGGTCTTTCTGGCCCCGTTGGACCTCCTGTAAGTAGCCGTTGTCATTGACCTCACTGAGTAGAAGGAAAAAAAGGGTGAAGGTGGGGTCAAAAAAGAAAAGAAATATTCCTATCAACTGATATCTTTCTCCCTTCCTTTTTCTTGTAGGGTAACCCTGGAGCCAACGGCCTTACTGGTGCTAAGGGTGCTGCTGTGAGTATACGGTGGGGATGGGGTGAAGGGGGAGGCCAAATTTGCTGCCGTAGTTTTAAAGGCGTTTAGTGAGTGCTGCCACTCCTGTCAGTGGCCTCATGGTTGACCACTCTGTGTTTTCCTTCACAGGGCCTGCCCGGTGTTGCTGGGGCTCCTGGCCTCCCTGGACCCCGTGGTCTTCCAGGCCCTCCTGGTGCTGCTGGTGCTACTGGTGCTAGAGGACTTGTTGTAAGTGTCCAGGCTGCAGCTTTCATCATCCTGAAATACTATCTCTACCATCTTCTTATCACCATCTGGGCTTCCTCTTGTAGTGCTATCATTCTTGTATTTTCTTCCTTAGCATTTTTAGTTTGTATTTCTTCTATAAGTACATGTACATGTATGCACAGTCTCTCCCTCTCTCTCATGAATACATACTGGCACACCTCTCCTGCTCTCACAGAGTATTACCTGAAGATCAGCCAGGCACATTTCTACACTATCAGTCTTGGCCCTTCGACCAAGACTATTCCCCTGTTACTCATTTAAATATGAACTGGATGCATGTCTTAGAGAACCCAAGTTTCTCTTTACCATGCTCCAAAATCATTCCAAGGTATTCACCTGCAAGAGAGTTGTGGCAAATGTTTGTCATTTGACCACTGTTTTGTATTCAACCCTAGGGTGAGCCTGGTCCACCTGGTTCCAAAGGAGAGAGTGGTAACAAGGGTGAGCCCGTAAGTAGTTCTATAATAACAATTTTATGAAGTTATTACTTGTTCAATACAAAAAATTAATACTTTAACTTTTTTAAAAAATTATCACTTTTTCTCCACCTGGATATGACATAAAAATTCCCGCCTTCTTTGTTTTTTTTTCCCTTTTCCCCCTCCTTTTTTTTTTTTTTTTTTTTCCATTAAACAGGGCTCTACTGGGGCCCAAGGTCCTCCTGGTCCCAGTGGTGAAGAAGGAAAGAGAGGTGCCAATGGCGAAGCTGGTCCCGCTGGCCCCCCAGGACCTGCTGGGCTGAGAGTAGGTTCCAAATGCTCTTGACACTCAGACACACCAGAGGCAGATGATGACACCATTTCATTGGGAATTGGTCATAATTATTGAGTGCATTTTATAGAGGAAGGAAGCATCTGCTTTTCATCTGCTTTATTAAATCAGTGACTCTCACTGATTTTGGTATGTTATAAAAAAATTGGCCTGGAAACAATGTGACCTACTTTTGCAAAATGCTTCCTCCACGCATTCCTTTGGGGTTTGGGTGAAGGTTTTTGACTTGGTTTGTTTTCATTATCTCCCCTGTAAGAGAATCTAGATTTCTTGCATCACATCATATTTTAATACACTCTGCCCTATTGGTTTCAAGGATTGTCTCCAATCCTCTTCTGTTTCATGTACTTTCTTACAGGGAAATCCTGGTAGTCGTGGTCTTCCTGGAGCAGATGGCAGAGCTGGTGTCATGGTAGGTTGTCTATTAACCGTTTCCTGGGAAGGAACTTGAAGCTTCTGGTGGTATGTGTGTTATTCACTTTAGCTCAACCCCTCCCCCTTCTTTTTAATAGGGCCCTGCTGGTAGTCGTGGTCCAGCTGGTCCTTCTGGTGCCCGAGGTCCCAATGGAGATTCTGGTCGCCCTGGAGAGCCGGGCCTCATGGGACCCCGAGTAAGTGTCACATTGATTCCAAGCAAGTCCCACATGGTACTATTTCCTTTTTTAAAGAGATGACTATTTGAAGAAGACAATTTTAAAAAATCAAAAGTAAATTCATGATAGGCTCACTGATGGTTGCCTTTTTAATTTAACTTCATCAAAGACTAGTAGATATTTTTATGAATTTGGTTAGCTCATAGATTTCCTATTTATTACTTGATACAATGGCTATGAGGTTTGGAGAAGAATAGATTTATTTTAATATATCCAAATTAGGTTGGTTCTCCTATCAGCATGAATCTTTTATCTCAATTTGTGAGTTTTATATAAGGTGTTCATGAAACATATTAGGACTATACATTATCATTTTATTAGATTCATAGTGAAATCATTTTCCCAGGAATCACAAAGTGCTATAATGTATTCCGCATCACACTTGCTATGAAGAAATAACCTTTAGATCCATAGACACACTAACCCATAGCAATAGAGTAATTTTTTGTCTCCATTATCTCTTATAGATGAATATCAACTGTAATTATACCATAAACAAGTAATAAAGACAGCAAATATAGCAATAAAAAACTCATCTTGAAAATTGCTTACTCAAAGTATTTGTTTTCCTAATATGAGTAAATAACATGATCTATTTTGCCCATATAACATGTTGCTTAACGGTTTCTTGAGAGATCTACAAACAGAACAGTTGTACTAAAATTCAGTAGAAAGCAAGGCACAAAAACAGAAAATGATTTCAGGGCTCTTTACATATTTCCCAGCTAGTGGCTAATACTCCTAATGATTTACCCTAGGCAACAAACCAAAAGTAGAGGGAAAGTGCTTTTGTGAGATTTCAATTAATTGGAGCTTTGTGCATTTACTAATTGGAGTATGTGCATAAAATTGTCAATATGAAAACATCTTCATTTGCTTTATAGGGCTTTCCTGGTGCCCCTGGAAATGTTGGCCCACCTGGTAAAGAAGGTCCCGTGGTAAGTGTTGTTCATTTTCCATTATATTTTCAAGGACACTTATTGTACTCTTATCAAGTCTATTCTGTGGCTTGTTTATACATGAACATGTTGGAAATAAATATCAGGCACATACATCATCTGGGAACACAAAGTAATGGATTGTAATTACGGAATCCAAATGAATGCAAGGCTGAAAGGAGAAAAGGAAAAAGAAAAACATGGCTGAGGAAACTGAAGAAGGTGACGAAGGTTTGAAAGGCGAGGAAAAGAGAGAATTGTGTCCATTAGGAATTGACTGGCTGTGTGTGTACTGACCTCCTATTTAGAAAAAGAAAATTGATTCATAATTCATTGACACTTTACACAGGAAACTCTATGCGTTCAGAAATTGACTGTTTCATACCCTAGCAGCATCACAAGCTTGAGGTCATGAGACCCTGTTGATGCTGAGTAAAGTTTAAATGAACTCTGATTCCAGGGTCTCCCTGGCATTGATGGCAGGCCTGGACCCATTGGCCCCGCTGGCGCACGAGGAGAGCCTGGCAACATCGGCTTCCCTGGACCCAAAGGCCCCACTGTAAGAATCACCACAACCTCCTCTCCCTTGGCATTTTTTTTTTTTGCCACATTTCATCACAACTCTAATATTTCTCTCTTGCCTCTGTTCACTCCACTTCAAGGGGGTTCCTTCCAACATGGGAAAATTACAAACCACTTACCACATTAAAAGTTGAACCCTGGTGTATCACTGTGCTCTGCTGGAAACCCGTCTCCTGGGCCATGCTTTTGCAGACACAGGTGCACCTGGTTGTATTTGGAGCTGCAGGATGATGGTTGATAACATAGATAGCAAAAGTCAAGGACTAGGCATCTAAAAAAAAAAAAAAAAAGGAAGAAACTTGCAAAATTGTCATGGTTAGTTTGACATTAAATATGTAATTTTTAAAATGTTCATTATAGGGGGAACCTGGCAAAGTTGGCGAAAAAGGTCATGCTGGTCTTCCTGGCGCCCGGGTAAGTGCTAACTTCTGAGCAGATCTATGCACATAGTATTGAGCTAGGAAACACTCCCTGGGAGGCCGCTGATAGCATTCTGTTATTTTCTTTCCAAAGTGACATCCCCTACGATGATGTTACCATTAGAAGAATGTTTTTCTTTTTAAACCACACTTAGAAGGAAGTGAGCTATAACAAAACAGAATATATTAAGTCTAAAATATGATGCATTCAGATTTTATTTAATTCAGTCTCTGGCCTTCATTAATTGCCATGCATCCATGGACTTCCTGTGCACTGTGTCAAAAGTTAGTAGGTGGCATTTGGGCCTTGGCAGGGGGACCCACAATAAGTGTAGTTCATGCTCAAATGACAAGCTTTACTTCAAGCAAACAATGCAGGAGGCTTTGAGGCATCTTAAATTGCCCAACTGGAGGGTAACCTGAGCCTTTCTATTAAACATTTTAGGGTGCTCCAGGTCCTGATGGAAACAATGGTGCTCAGGGGCCTCCTGGACCACAGGTGAGTATTTCTCCCACTTTTGTTCTTTCCTTCCCTAAAGTAAATCTAGTCCTGCAGAATAACCATCTCCTTTTTCTAGTCCCAAAGTGATGTCGCTCCATAGTAATGGTGGCATATCCCATTGTTTATGCTGTCTTTCCTATCACTTTCAGGGTGTCCAAGGTGGAAAAGGTGAACAAGGTCCAGCTGGTCCTCCAGGCTTCCAGGTAAGTCATCTAAAGCCTGAAGAATACCGCCTCTGGTCAGAACCCCGGCTTCAATCACTGCACTGCCCTTCACTGCCCAGAGCACGTGATGTCAGTACTCAGCAGAGAAGCTGCGTTTTTTTCAAGACACACTTTTGTGTAATGCTTTAATAACACCCAATAGCTAGTCATCATGTTGATATTAGGTAGTTTCCCCTGAAATCCAATTATCAGCAAATCCCCTGTATATAGCCATAAGATTTGAGATTGGTATTTCTTTCCTCTAGGGACTGCCTGGCCCCTCAGGTACAGCTGGTGAACTTGGCAAACCAGGAGAAAGGGTAAGCAAAACGAGTTATAGTAAATTCACCTAAGCTTGGGGCTTTCCCTCTGTTTAATACCTTACTGCAGTATAATTATAATATGCAAAAGGAAGCTTTATATTTTATATGTTAATGATAGTGTTCTACATATGTCAGTGATTATAAAAAGAATGAACAAAGTTACCCAATTTTGTTCAAATTACTTTGTTTTAAGGGTTGAATGAAACATCGCACTGCGGAAATAAAATGAACTGATGAACATTACACTTAATAGCCTTATTTTTTTTGTATTGTTCTTGGTAATGTTAAAATATAAATTATGTCCTTCTCTATAGTGAAAAAGTAAACACATTGATTTTTCATCAAAGTAGACCATGAAAAATCACGTTTAATGTTTTCCTTGGCATTCACACATGATACTGAGATCCACAATCAGAGCATGAGTTCTGAGCCATTTTCTCTGTAATTGTGATGAATGTTTCTCAATTCAGTTACATTATGTGGCCTGGTCTCCTCTGTCAACAGTGGGGCACATTAAGGAGACAGCTGGTCAGTGATAAAGGAGATACACTTGGGTATGCAATTTAACTAGGTAATGTGCATAATATGGTCATTTCAATTTTAAAAAGTCTGTTATATAGCTAAAAATAGGCAATGTCTGATACTCTTCATCATTATTTATCATATTATCAAAGGAGATAGTCTGGTTTGGTCACTTTTTTGAAAGCAATAAACTAACTAATGAGAAATATAAATTTCCTGATACCAAATTCTAGGATAAATAAAGCTTTGATCAATGAGATTCTCACTTTTTCTAATAGCCAGCATACTTGTATACTCATGTAGGTAGGTCCTATCTGGTTTAATTTTCACTCCTCTAAAATGTGTTTAAATATAATAAGTAGATTTAGAGAACATACATAAATTTCATACTTTATTGATTTTCCTGTCTTGTCTAGGGTCTCCCTGGTGAATTTGGACTCCCTGGTCCTGCTGGTCCAAGAGTAAGTATTACTTAACTAACCTTCATGAACTCCTGGATGTGCTGTGTTCTCCTATAAACTATTGATGACCTCGCAACAAGTTCCTGACACTCTTTGGTCATCAAACATAATCTGTAGGCAGCATTTGAGTTCAGAATTGATAGACTTTTTTATTTAATTGATCATATTTCTTACTAAAAAAAGGACACAATTAGAAGAAACATAAATGAACTAATTTATATATATTATATTCAGTGATTTACAGAGACAAACATGATATATTTATGACAGTGGCTCAAACTTAGCCAAGGAAAAATAATATCTTACTAAGATTTAAAGTCAATTTTTGCAATGCACACTAATATTCAAAGTCTAAAGCTGAAATCGTGAGTCTCCTCTTACAAATAAATAAATTAACAAGTGTATTTAGTTTGTCTGTGATTAGAATAACTGAAATGATTAGCTTGCACCTAAAGTGACCTGTTAAGTGGCTAGTTAGCATTTATCTAGGATACCCAAACAAATTTAGTATCATACAGCATAGGACCAACTTAGAACAAGGGACTTCAAAAAGCTGCAATGTGGACTTATTTGTTAAATATTCTGTACCATAGAATGTTATGTCATAATGATATTTACATGCAAATTGGGGGATATTTAGATAGATAGACACACAAATATATATGCACGTACATATGTATGTTTCCTCTGTTAAATATTGTAACTGTTACATCTCTGTTGCATGCAATTGTAAAAAGGGAGCATAGGTAAGATAATATTTAATCTTATTTACACCTAGCATTGCTTTTCACCTAAAATGACACAATATTTCCCTTTGACTACTAGGCATAACTGACATCTCTTTTTGCCTATGGATCTATCACCACCCAAAACAAAAGCAAAAAAACAAACAAACAAACAAAAACCAAGCAAACAAACAGAAAAAAGGAAATGAACTCCAAACGTTCAGTATTATACTCCAGGAGCAACAAATTTTGGAGTTGTAGTTACAGAATGTTAGAGCTGAATGAGACTTTAGAGATTATCTAACCCCAACCCTTCATTTTACTAGTAGAGAAATTAAGGAACAATAATTCTGATTTGCTTATCAGTGGCAGAATCAGGGTTCAAAAGCTCAACAAGTGTGAACTCTGACATGTAAAACAGTGTCTCTGAAAATCATGAACAGAACAACACTTCTTTTCATGCTTTTTTTTACAGGGGGAGCGTGGTCCCCCAGGTGAAAGTGGTGCTGTTGGTCCTTCTGGTCCTATTGGAAGCCGAGGTCCTTCTGGACCCCCCGGGCCTGAGGGAAACAAGGTAAAATATTGTGTTATATGTTGCTGATTTGGCCCACTATACTCTAGAATAAGTAGGTCCTTTAAATAGTAAATGAATTGCTTTGCAGAGTACCTGTTTATTTTCAGTTCTATGATGATGTCCATCTCAGTATATGACAACCAGATTCCAGTGGACCTGAATTATTCTAAAACAAGGAAATCCCAGTGTTCTACACACATAAATGAATTAGTATGGGTCTCCACTCTTCTTTCATCACATTGTTTACACTTCTGTTTTAATCTAGAAACATCAGATACATTTGGACACTATTTTTAGAGGGCAAACTTTGACCTCAATATCCTGCTTCATAAAGTAAAATTTCAAAAAGTAGTCTAAATTTTAATAAGAGAATTTATAATGATATAAATTGATTGGACAGTACATTCACCCCAAAAACATAAGCCTGAAAATTTGTGTTTCAAAACAGAATCTGTGGTCTAGAATTTAAAATAAGTGAAATTGTACATTTTTTAAAAACGGATCACTTCAACCCCAATAACGAGTAGGCAACTGATTTTACTTTTGATTTTTACCTTTAAGGGAAAAAATGTAAAGAATAACTGCAAAAGGCTATTTTGGTATGTGGAAGGATATTGGGGAAAAAAATAAAAACCAGCTAAGAGGGAGAGTAGAAAACAGAGAGTAAACATGGTTCTGTGAGGTAGTACTTTCAGAGAGTTTCATCCCAGAAGCCAGTCAACAGGCTTTAAGTATGTGAGATTATAAAGATTTACATTAAATAGGGAAGCTATAGTGCCCACTCTTAAGGAGATTAAAATGTAAACATCTCCTCAGTTGGTAAGGTGTCTTTCCATATTCCCTGTGTGGCTTAAAAGACATTCTTGAAAAATGTTGGTGGGCAAGTATTTCCCAATGTCTGCCTTCCATTAGCCTATCCTTTTCTTTCCCCTGCTGCCCCTCCTTTCAGAGGGCAGGGGGCGGGCAATGGAGAAATCCCAGCACCCGCTCTCCCTACCTTCTTCTCTCAATCACCATGTCCTAATAGCGTCTCCCTCCGTTACCTTCTCCCTCCTTCCACAGCCCTCCTGCATGTCTCTAAGTAGGCAATAATGCTGTCTATTAAATGTTTAAATTGGAATCCTTCAAGAGTTTGAGTTTTCATTTTCTTCTCTTGCTGCTGAAATAATGGATTTCATGTGTGTTTGATCCAAGGGTGAACCGGGTGCCGTGGGTGCCCCAGGCACTGCTGGTGCACCTGGTCCTGGTGGACTCCCCGGAGAGAGAGGCGCTGCTGGCATCCCTGGGGGCAAAGGAGAAAAGGTATCCCCTTCCGCTGTTGAATTTTAATCCATATTGTTGATGAACTCTGGCAAGAAGGCAGCACAAGGCTGCCCAATTTTTTTACAGTTCTTGGCAGGTGATCGGGTAGCATTTTGATACCTATGTATGTATATTTCCCTCTGCCACGTAGCACCTACGCATTTCTAAACTCACTGATCTGGCAAAATTCCTTCCTACTATGGAATTTCACACAAACAGATGGTGTTGAGTAATACATGAGGCTCATTTTAATGCCACTAACAATAATGCCTCATCCTGCCCTAATTAATGGCAAGAAACTATATTGAACAGCTGTCAACCGTGCTGCCGCATTAGTTATGCCATAGGAGTGACTGGGCACCGAAGCCCTCTCTGGTGTTGCCTTAAAATTCTGTCCACACACATTTAGACTTGGCTTCATTATGCTTTGGGGGGGTTATAAAAATTAGAAAAGAATATTTCATGATAATCTGGAAGTGTCCCTGATTATTTTTCCTTTTCTTAAATTCCTCAATTCAACATCCTGTAGAATGGTAGGGACTCAAGGCATTACTAAAGACTTTAAATGACTGAGGTATTGTAGCATTTTCTGTGAAAACACTTTAGATTCAGAAATTTGGTCAGGAAACAAAAAGCTGCTCATGGTTTATATTTTCAGGGTGAAACTGGCCTCAGAGGTGAAGTTGGGAGCACAGGCAGAGACGGTGCTCGTGTGAGTAAACCTGCGTTTTTGTTTGTTGGTACTTAGATTATCTCTTTTCGTCTCTCACTCGGAGTTGAGAAGCTTTGCAAAGGAGAAACAACAAAAGGATTCGAGCTTAGTAAAGGAGTATACCATTCCTTCCTGGATCTATGATTAATGATATTTTACATGTTCTGGGAAAAAAAAAAGTCAACAGGACTTTCCCCTTTGAAAATCCTAGCCTGAATTTTCTACCTTCTTCTTTGTTACCTGAACCAAGTAAAAACTACAAACCAAAAACTCTGGGGTTAATGGAACTTGAAAGGATTGCTGACGTTATTATAGGGCTTTAGAAAAAAACAATATATTTTAAGAAGCCAGAACCCCTAACAGGATCCTCTGTATTTAAATATATGCCTTAAAAAGTTCACTCAAAGAGCAGTCCCAAAGATTAGCTGTTAGTGCCATGGAGATGCCAGAGATAATCCCAAAAGGTGCATAACCACACCCACAGTGTTGGCATCCTGGCTCTTCCAGGCCATAAGCTACTTTGGTCCCTTCTCCTCTCTCTCTCAGAGCTGATAACTCGTCACAGCACGTTCATAATAGTCCTTTCTCTGAATCCCACAGTCCTAACAGTTCCAAACAAGGCCACCCACTGCTCTCCAGGGAATTTGACAAGGGCAGAGAGTTCAGATCTCCCTAATTCCTTCCCTTGCCCTACACATTTCCAGAACCTTTGCCACTGGAGAGTATCCTCCTGAGAGTGGCTTCTCATAGTCTTGATAGTTAGAACTGAAATGCATCAAAGGCTTTCTGGATGCACGCTGCCGCCACCCCGCCCCCAGAATGTGCAGTAAAAGCGTTCAGTCACCGTTTAAGCACAGCAGGAGGGAATAGCAAGGGTCACTTTTGGTGGTATGGGAATGTTATTACTAAGACTTGTTTCCTTTTTGGTACTAGGGTCCTCCAGGTGCCGTGGGTGCCCCTGGTCCTGCTGGAGCCGCTGGTGACCGGGTAAGCATGCATTTTCCACTGAGTTGCAGCTCTCTAAGCCAACAGCAGTATCTAAAATTCCCTGCCTGCCTTAGTCCCCTAAAGCCCCAGCAATTCTTTTTTACAGCTTGGTTTTAAACCCACTTATTTAAAAACGTATGTGTTGTGATGGGGCAGCAAGAAACTGACACTGAGTGTTTGAAGTTCTCTTTCCCTTCCTATAGACATGCCACCTATCTGATCTACATTTTAATCCCTATCATCTGTTTTAAAGTCTCACTCTGTGCCCGTTAAAAATATCCTAATACACTGAGCCTCCTCAAAGCTTTCGATTGTTTAAAAAAAATCAATAAAATACATAGTGTGCTCATTTGCTCATTTCACATCAAACTCTTAAAATAGGCTTTATTCATTGTATTGCACAGATTGCAGCATGTGGATCAACCCTGTGTTGATCTAAAAACTAAAAAGTCCTCCTCCTGGTATTGTAGGCACTGATGTATAGAGGTTTTGCAGGTGTATGACCAATTCCACTTTAACCCCCAAGATGAATACAAACATCAAGCAGAGTAGGAATCCACTTCATTTTGCTCTGTGAGATAGATATACATTAGTTATCTCTCCCGATGCAACTCCAAACTCTGACAAGGGACAACTGTCTACCACTGTTACTCTCCATCTACCTCTGTGGGCATTTGTGTGAGGCACATTAACTAATTGAATTCCTCTTTGGTCCCATCATAGGGTGAGGCTGGAGCTCATGGTCCTGCTGGTCCTGCTGGTCCTCGAGGTAGCCCTGTAAGTGGAAACTTGGGTCATCTTGGATATTCATAACTTTTAGACATTGGTGATTCTAAGATTGTTAAGACATTTTTAAATCCCTCCTTCCACCTAGGGTGAACGTGGTGAGGTTGGTCCCGCTGGTCCCAATGGATTTGCTGGTCCTGCTGTGAGTATCATGTAATGAAGGTTAATCTGAAAAAATCCCAAATGAGAACTGAGTGAATTGGAATACGTGAACTATAAAACCATTCCTTTCCAACAGGGTGCTGCTGGTCAACCTGGTGCTAAAGGAGAGAAAGGAACCAGAGGGCCCAAGGGTGAAAATGGTCCTGTTGGTCCCACAGGCCCTGTTGGAGCTGCTGGACCATCTGTAAGTTGAATTCACTGGTGATCAGTACAGACTTTGTAGCTGCCCATGAAATCTTTTAATTCCATATACATCAATCACATACCTACTATACACACCAAGGAATAAGCCAGATAGGAGATGATTCTAAAAATAAGAATTAACATTTGCATTCTGGCTTTACAATTTGTAAAAATCTCATTTATATTACCTTACTTTTTTGATAATCCCATAGGGTAGTAATATTGAAGCCAAAACATTTAGATTATTTTATTTGACACAGATGATAACTTTTAATTCTTGGATTTGCTTCTGATAGACATGGAAATGATCCCTTTAAAGAAAAGAATGACATTTGTAGGAATTGTTTTGTGATTGGAACCCATCTTTTTGTTTGCTTATTTCCATTTAGGGTCCAAATGGCGCCCCTGGTCCTGCTGGAAGTCGCGGTGATGGTGGCCCCCCTGTGAGTATTTAAAATGGACTCTGAAAGCTTTTCTTTCTTCAAAATCTAATAGGGTCAACTTGAAAGTTTGGAATTTTTGGTAAATTTGGAATAAATGAGGAAACGCTCAAGATTCAAGTTAACTCATTCAGAGAAATTGTGATATTGAAATTAAGGTCAGGTTCATGGGACGTGAGCTCACTCCCAGGTGTACCTCAGCATTGCATGTGTTGCTACCACCTTACTTGAGGTAATAATCAAAATTAAGCCCTGGTCATTGAATTGTGAAATGGGTAAAACAGTTTTTGGTACCTTTATCCTCTTGTTGATGCCTCCCCTCCTCTGCCTGGCCACATCCTTTCCCTTGGTGTCCAGTGCTGGCACACCAGCTCCCCAGAGACCCAGAGCTCCCCAACAATGAACTGCTTTGACCCCCTCTGCCTTTCACCGGACAACAGTTAATACTCAGTCTTTTGTTGGACCTTCCTCTGTAAACAAAATTACTTATTCAGCATCCACTCTCCAAGCACCTAGCCAGGTGGTTAAGATAGTTATTAATATATACACATCAATGTATAATAATGGCATAGTGTCTTATCTTCTTTCTCTTACAATCATTAGATAATATGTTAACATTTCGAAAAGGACCATCAGAACTTTAATGCAGCCCTGGCTGGAGCACTGGCCTGCAAACCAAAGGGTTGCTGGTTTGATTCCCAGTCAGAGCACATGCCTGGGTTGCAGGCCAGGTCCCCAGTACGGGGTGCGTGAGAGGCAACCACACATTGATGTTTGTCTCCCTCTCTTTCTCCCTCCTGTTCCCTCTCTCTAAAAATAAATAATTGAATAAATCTTTTAAAAAATAAAAAACTGACTTTAAAAAATTATTTTAAGAAAAGAACTTTGATACAAAATATGGGTGTTGCAACTGGGGGCATGCTGGTGAGGAAGACAGAAGAGAAGGAGGACCTTGGGGTCCTGATAAAATAACACCTATGTGACTCTGCCACTGCCTACTCCTTGGTCCATCCCTTGTCACATGTATTGGGGATTTATCAGAAGAGAAATTTCAATTTTACCCAAATATTTAAAGTTGGTGTTGATTGTAGGATTTTAATATGGAATTTTAATGTACTTGGTTCTTAGGGCATGACTGGTTTCCCTGGTGCTGCTGGACGTACTGGTCCTCCTGGACCCAGTGTAAGTAAATCACTTCAAAATATGTCTGCATTTACTCTAGTCAAAAGACTCGGCCTCTGCTGGGAGACTGGGAAGGAACTCTATAAAAATATGCTACGAATATTTAGCTACTACTTTCCTAGTCTGCAGTCAGTTTTCCTGAACCAGTAAAGCAAAATCATCACAAATTATATTTTATGATATCAGTTTAAGAGGATTTTATTCATATGAATACAAGTTTCCCTGTAAGGACATGTGTTTTTTTGTTGTTGTTGTTAAAAATTAAAAAACAGAACAGTTTTACTCACATATCAAATAGTTCCGTATCTAATTACCCTTTATGGCCAACATTCTGCCTCCATTGTTAAGGTATAATTGTTCCAGAATTTAAAGGTGGTTTGGCCTCTAATTTAATTCTGATTCAGACTCTTCTGTCAGGACTCCAGAGAATTTAATTAATTACTAAGGCTTAAGTCTTCCAGTTAAGGTTTCAAGGGGAAAAGATAGCAAAGATGTTGATTTTTTGGAATCCTTTTGTAGGATCATAACAGAAAAATCTTCATTCCCCATAGGCATTTAATTAAAGCTCACTGAGAACATATGTGATTCCTCATTTATGAACAAAATGCCAGTATTGGTTTCTTTCAAAAAGAGATCGCTAGAGTCCTCCGATACCCAAGGTCCCATTCATTTACAACCAACTTTTATAACGTCACACAGTTCCAATCTGCCAGGTTGCTGGTACTACAGCAATGCTTTCCCTCCCAGACATTTGCCACAGCTTCTGCCTCTGTTTCCTCTGTTACAGTCACAGGAGAAGGAAGAATGGGAGATGCTTCTTTCTATAAGAAAGAATGTTAAAAAGTCTAAACCTTTCCCACAAATGACCAGGATATTATTTTGTTGCTTCACCCTGCATCTTAATATCAAGAATTTCACCTGCTCTCTTCCAAGTCCATGATGATTAACAGAAAGTACATGAGCTTGTACATTTGCCCACAGGGTATCACTGGCCCTCCTGGTCCCCCTGGTGCTGCTGGTAAAGAAGGAATTCGTGGGCCTCGTGGTGACCAAGGTCCAGTTGGCCGAACGGGAGAAACAGGTGCAAGCGGGCCCCCTGGCTTTGCTGGTGAAAAGGGTCCTTCTGGAGAGACTGGTGCTGCTGTAAGTGATTTGAAACTCCTGTTTCTTAATTCCTCGTGCTGTAGTCAAAACAAGCCCTTACACAAATCTTTAAATGGTGTATGTTTGTGGATGAGTACTGCAGGCTCTCAAGTAAAGCCCAGTTGAGCCAGGAAACCTGTCTAACAGATATTGAGGTGTCATAGCTTCCGCAGGAGCTTCTAAGGCACTAGATGGGCATGACAGAAAATGAGAAAACTTGCTGTTTTACCAAAACAGCCCTTTAAGCTGTTGAGAGCACCTTAGTGTTACGGGGATTAGAACAGAACCCATTGCAGTGGTCATCCCACCACGCGTTACCTGATCTCGGTAATCGCCCGATGCTTTAAACACGCATCATCTGCTATTATTGCTACTCTGAAATGTGCCTTTAATAGACCTGGTTCAGTTAGATGCCAAGGTCAAAATTTGCTTCCTGGCAAAAATTCTATATAAATTCTATTCCATAATCTTAGAGGGCTTCATTAATTTCAACCACATATTTTTAAATGTTGTTCCATTGGTCTCAAGAAGGAACTAGGCACAAAACTATGCATGCCAAGATGGAAACTTACTGTCATCACCAGAGAAAAGACACCCCAAGATATGTCCTGCTAATAGGAGGATGTGTTCTAAACTGAGGATAGCTCATTTTCACAATCCTCAAGCCAACCTGTGTTATCACCTGTGGTCTTTCCCAGTAACACTCAGTATTTTTCATCTTGTTCAGGGACCTCCTGGCACCCCCGGTCCTCAGGGTCTCCTTGGTGCTCCTGGTATCCTGGGTCTTCCAGGCTCTAGAGGTGAACGTGGTCTACCAGGTGCTGCCGGAGCAGTGGTGAGTATTTGACACCATTCTTACTCGCATTAACATAATAAAGGATTTTAAAAGCTGCCACTTCAAATGTGACAGATTGATCACTGAATAACTCTGCTTAAGATTTTTTATTCATGGCATTTTCTTTGTACAGATCACATGTCACTTATCTAAGAAGCTTTAATACCACCCTACTTAGACACATGCGATAAACACAGTTAACATTATGCAGGATGATTTTTGTTCTTTTAACATGCTTACGAATGATATAAGCTCTAATTGCACTTACTCCTCTGCAATATGAGATGCTGGCATCATTTATCCTGTAGGAAGAACGAAACTCTGCAAGTTCTGAATCATTCCATTAAACCTTATACGTGACAGCAACTAGAAACCCTCTCATTTCCATAAACTCTCTCAACTTTATGAATTCATTTCATTCGGGCTCTCAGATAAAACTAGGCTCACCTTATACAGAGAACATTCCAAAACTACAGAAAGCTGACGATCCTAAGTGTGGAGGAGGAGGGTGAGGATGGCACTAATGGCAGTACTTAACCACTTTGCGGTCTATTCATTTTCGTTCTTTCTTCGAACTGAAAGCTCCTGGCTAGGGTTGTTCTGGAAAGCTGAGATTGGCAGTCAGCTCAATGAGAGCAATACTGTTTTGTCTTCTGCCTTTTTAGGGTGAGCCCGGACCCCTCGGCATTTCAGGTCCACCAGGGGCCCGTGGTCCCCCTGGTGCAGTGGGTAATCCTGGAGTCAACGGTGCTCCTGGTGAAGCCGGTCGTGATGTGAGTCCAACGCTTGGTTTGTAAAATACCGCCTAGCAATATTTCATTGTGTGTTACTGGGTGTCCTGAGTTGAGGTTCACTTATTCCAACTTTCTGAACATAGTGTCTGTTTCTCCCTAATATTCACAGATACTAACCATGCCTAGTATTAAAAATAAGAAAAAAAGAACTTGGGATGGAGGATAGGTCTTTAAATAGCATACTTCAAAGTTGGCCAAAACATTAAAAACACCTCTAAAATGATCTAGGTTGGCAAGCTCTTGTTCCTATTATTAACAGTCTGGAAGGGAATTCACTACTGAGGTCTGGGGGTGATGAAGGCAGAACAGCTAAACTCTGGGGTCTGTGGCCTATGGAGCCTCACTAAGTGTCTTCACTGGCATGGTGTCTTCACAGGGCAACCCTGGGAACGATGGTCCCCCAGGCCGCGATGGTCAACCCGGACACAAGGTTGGTATACCTCTTCATCTTCTAATTTAAAAGTGACTAAGCTACAGGCCATGTTAACGCTAAGCTTCATTTTGCCTTTGGTAGGGAGAGCGTGGCTACCCTGGCAACGCTGGCCCCGTTGGCGCTGTGGGTGCTCCTGGTCCTCATGGCCCTGTGGGTCCCACTGGCAAACATGGAAACCGTGGTGAACCTGTAAGTTGTAAATGCAAGTCCCTCAGTGTTGTCATCCCCACAGGCTTTGCTTCTGACCTCTCTACACTTGAGAACTTGTTGGGGCCTGGGAAGACGATCTTGGCTATGTTGGTGACTTGTGTTTTTCTTTTCCAATTCACAGGGTCCGGCTGGTGTTGTTGGTCCCACAGGTCCTGTCGGTCCAAGAGGTCCTAGTGTATGTACAGGGGGAAGATTTCTTTACAAATTCACATTTAGGAGCAGTCTAGACCAACCATTTGAAGAAAAATAAATAACATATAGGCTAGACTTTATACATGTATTTTTAAAATTTAGGCCATATTGAGAATTGCTAAAAATAGCTTTTAAATCTCTTCTATTTCAAATCTTATCTGCCTGTTTGTATTAAATAATCAGGAAGATCTAGCCAATCTTACAGACAGCTCAGCTAAAGCGAATCAAGAGGAGAGTAACAGAGTAACATGCACATGGCTTTTAGACCTTTGCATGTCTTGGGTTATCTTTATAAACAGGGTACACAATATTTGTTGAAAAGAGAGTATCATTTGTCCAAAAAGGTAAACGTCCTTTGTGTCCTCTCTTTACAGGGCCCGCAAGGCATTCGAGGTGATAAGGGAGAGCCTGGTGACAAGGGGCCCAGAGGTCTTCCTGGCTTAAAAGGACATAATGGATTACAAGGTCTTCCTGGTCTTGCTGTAAGTAAAATGTGGACACCCAGCATATATGCAGATCTTAAAGGCCTTCGACTCAAAATGATCTTCCTCAGATTATCACTGCTATTATTCTAAAATGTCCTACATCTTATTCATTTCCCATTCTCTGACTAACTTCATTTCTTGGAGATAATGCCATTTCATCCCAACAAGAAAAGGTGAGAGCTAAGGGAGATAAAAAATATACATATATTAAAATCTCCTGGTAACAATGTCCTTCAACCCCACTTAAAATAAATATAATTAGAGGAATGACTAATACTGCCCTGCTGAAATAGCTTGCAGGAAAAAACATAATTGAAGATAATAGGTATAATGGGACAAAAGAGCCCCATTTTACAGTTTCAATTTTCTCAATCCAGAGTTATTGAAACTAAAGTTTCCCATTCAGTTTTTTTAAATCTACTTATTGACACATGTTCTGAAAATGTGATTTTCTTGTTTTCTCTTTAAAGGGTCATCATGGTGATCAAGGTGCTCCCGGCCCTGTGGGTCCTGCTGGCCCTAGGGTAGGTCAATCTAAGAGACACTGATCTCTGAAAAAGAGCCCATGGCGGGCCGTGAGCCCCAAGCCTCTGCTCTCTTGTGGGGCTTTCACTGGTTCACACAGTCCTTCTTCCCTAGGGCCCTGCTGGCCCTAGTGGCCCCCCTGGCAAAGACGGTCGCAACGGACATCCTGGTACAGTTGGACCTGCTGGCATTCGTGGCTCTCAGGGTAGCCAAGGTCCCGCGGTAAGTATTATTTGGGGAAAGAATAAAGAGCATCACTGACCTAAGGGATGTTTTCTTCAGACTAAACCTAGAGAACCATGTCAACACATTAAAGTAGTCCCCGCTTCCACATGCTTTCTACCACATGTAAACATGGTCTCTACATAATGAGTTGCTTAAGCCCATCCCTGCTAGTCTGCCTGGGAGCAAGTTGTTTATTCACATAAGCTTGATTCTTTTTTACTTACGAAACACGCTTTTGTGTTGTGCCCATCTGAAAACCTGCTGTTGTTGATGTCTTCCAGTGTCACCAAATACAAAGCCTCCTCTTTCTCACTTGCTCCTTTGCAGGGCCCTCCTGGTCCCCCTGGTCCCCCTGGACCTCCTGGCATAAGTGGTGGTGGCTATGAATTTGATGGAGACTTCTACAGGGCTGACCAGCCTCGTTCACCACCTTCGCTCAGACCCAAAGATTATGAAGTTGATGCTACTCTGAAATCTCTCAACAACCAGATTGAGACTCTTCTTACTCCTGAAGGTTCTAGGAAGAACCCAGCTCGCACATGCCGTGACTTGAGACTCAGCCACCCAGAGTGGAGCAGTGGTAGGTCAAGATGTCCAAGCTGGTCTGACCTGTCTCACAAAATCAATTCCCACTGACAGAGTGAAAAGTATCTGGGTAAAATTTGCACTATGTGTAGCCATATGCAATTAATGAAGCATTTTTTTTCTCCCAGCCATCACCCATTCTCAAACTTCTCTTCATATATATATATATATATAATTTTTTTCCCTTTCATGTTAATATGTACTCTGATTTGATTTTTCACGGAGGAGAGGGAAGGAGGAATTGTGTAATCTTCAAAAATAGCCTCCTTCTCCCTGTCAAATGTGGTGTAGATAATTTAACACTACAATCAAAAATGGTACTTATGAGAATCAAAATCATTGACTAGTAATTATTAGAAATCATGGTCCACTCAGTGAGAGGTTTTATGGTTGGAATCTTGTTTTCAAAAAAGGTTACTACTGGATTGACCCTAACCAAGGATGCACTATGGATGCTATCAAAGTATACTGTGATTTCTCTACTGGCGAAACCTGCATCCGGGCTCAACCTGAAAACATCCCAGCCAAGAACTGGTACAGGAGTTCCAAGGCTAAGAAGCACATCTGGCTAGGAGAAACTATCAATGGTGGTACCCAGGTGAGGAATCCTACAAACATTCCTACCTTTACTAAATAGTATTTTATTAGGATTATTGGTTTTTTAATCCTTTATCAAAATGAGCTTTTTAAAAGAACCTGCTGTTTTAGGGGGTTCCAGTTCTATATTAGATCACACATTAAAGATGGGTTGATTGGACATATCCCTATAACTCCAAGTTATTATTCAAATCTGACTTAACTGATAGTCACTGGAGAAACTGACTAATGTCATTAGTATGAAGGAATATTGGCCATGCATATGTATTTTTCAGAACATGAGCTTTTCTAAATTTTTAATCAACCTTTTCACCAACTTTATTGAATGCCTACTGGTGGGAATTACAAGAAAAGCAATAGGTCCGCATTTATATCTCCTTGCTCTCTTATTCTAAATAAGAAACATACACAAAAAGGCTTGCCTGAAAGAGGTATCTTTCTGAGATGACTGTGACTCAGCCTGGTTGTTCCTATGTCCCTTCTAGGTAACTAATATTTCAATGACAATTGAATTTTGTTTCCTTTAAAAGTGCCTTCTTCTTAAGGTTCAGATCTGACTCCACTATTTTTCACTATACCAGACTTTTTTTTTTTTAATTTGACTCTTAGTATCTGAGTTCTTCTCGACATAACTGGAAATTTCTGTCTTATTCTCTATAGTTTGAATACAATGTTGAAGGAGTAACTACCAAGGAAATGGCTACCCAACTTGCCTTCATGCGCCTGCTGGCCAACCATGCCTCTCAAAACATCACCTACCACTGCAAGAACAGCATTGCATACATGGATGATGAAACTGGCAACCTGAAAAAGTCTGTCATCCTGCAAGGCTCCAATGATGTTGAACTTGTTTCCGAGGGCAACAGCAGGTTCACTTACACTGTTCTTGTAGACGGCTGCTCTGTAAGTAATAGTGAAATATGGAAACAGCACTTACTTGGGGGCGGGGTGTCCTAGTTTAGACCAGTTAACAAACAGGTAAATGAGTGACCTTAGCTATTCAGTCTTTTTTATGACTGTATTTATTTAAAGTCAGATGTTAAATTCACAGTATTTTTATCCGAACTTGCCTTCCAAAATACTGAAATATATACTATGTCCATATATTAGTTGTTTTTTCTCTTAACAGCTGTTTTTCTTTTCTGTTAGTTACTTTTCTTAAATGATAATGTATGCCCATAACTTAAAATTACTTGAGGTTAAAAGGACCCACGCTATAGTTGATAATTATATGTATTTTATTTTACTTATTAGTAAAGACTACATTTAATTTTTCTTCATGCTCTCTCTACAATGTGCTATAAATGGAGGAAAAATTTAAATGTACTAATAGCAACACAGCGTACCTTCCAACTATCCCCTTCCCCTCAGACACGCACACATACGCATCCTGAAAATGATCATGTAGCTATAAATCACTTGGAATATGTATTGCAGTGTTCCTTCTAATTATACTGGTAGGGAGCCTCTCTCCCTAAAGATACCCTTGATGGTGCTCTTTCAAAGATGACCTTGTTGATCTGGGACATGTGTCTTTAGAATGACACAAGCCAAAAAGTGGTTCTAACACTATCAAAGGTTCAGATATGAGATTCCAAAATAGTGCTGCTTTATGTATATTTTTTCTTTTCTTTTTTAAACAGAAAAAGACAAATGAATGGGGAAAGACAATCATTGAATACAAAACAAACAAACCATCTCGCCTGCCTTTCCTTGATATTGCAATTTTGGACATCGGTGGCGCTGACCAAGAATTCGGTTTGGACATTGGCCCAGTCTGTTTCAAATAAATGAACTCAACCTAAATTAAAAGAAAGGAAATCTAAAAAAAACACTCTCTCTCTTTGCCATTTCTTTTTCTTCTTTTTAACTAAAAGCTGAATCCTTCCATTTCTTCTGCACATCTACTTGCTTAAATTTTGGGCAAAAGAGAAGGATTGATCAGAGCATTGTGCAATACGATTTAATTAATTCCCTCTCCCTCTTCCCCTCCCCAAAAGATTTGGAATTTTTTTCAACATTCTTACACCTGTTGTGGAAAATGTCAACCTTTGTAAGAAAACCAAAATAAAAATTGAAAAATAAAAACCATGAACATTTGCACCACTTGTGGCTTTTGAATATCTTCCAAAGAGGGAGGTTTAAAACCCAAACTTCCAATGGTTTAAACTACCTCAAAACACTTTCCTGTGAGTGTGATCCATACCATTAGGTGCTGAACCAGACAGAGATGAGGTGAGGTACTTATTTTGTTTTGTTCAAAATACAAAGGTGCTAATTAACAGTATTTCAGATACTTGAAGAATGTTGATGGTGCTAGAAGAATTTGAAAAGAGATACTCCTCTGTATTGAGTTATATTGTTTTTTTATTTGATTTTGCATCAGTGTTTTACATCTTATGCCTGAATAAAGTATGCAGATCATTTGCCCAACATTGTTGTCTTCTTTAAATTCAGCATTTGTTCTTTGCCAGTCTCGTTTTCATCCTCTCCCATGGTTCCAAAGAAGCCTTGTTTCTCAGACAGGCAGAAAAATTAAATTGTACCTATTTTGTATATGTGAGATGTTTAAATAAATTGTGAAAAAATGAAATAAAGCATGTTTGGTTTTCCAAAAGAAAACATTGAGTAAAATTCCTTCCTTTGATGCTCTTTGCAATATAAATATAGTTTATGGCACCTCTACCAGCCCGATGCTGGCTCTGTTCCTTTCAGCTGATTAACCTTGGGCACTTCACCTTTCTGAGTTTCAGTTTCTACACCTGTAATATAGGGAAGTCTCCTTCTCTGAACCACTCAACATTTGCTCTACTCAAAAGGCATAATTCCTAAACAACGTGGCATTGTTGACCTGTTTATTCTAAGCAGAGAGCCACAGAATCTTTTAGTTTATTATCCATTAAGCACTTTGAAACAGTGGCTGAAAGTTGGTCTGTGCACAATTAATACTATTAACTAAAACAGTTTCAAATATTCAGTAAAAATGCCATACACCTAAATCTGATGCAACTGAGTACAATGCCTGTTAAGAGGTAATGTGTGTGCTGTCAATCAGCATAGACAGTTGTGGATAATAGTACCATGAACACCTACCTGCCAAATCAATTTCCTTTTCCTTCCCTGCACCTTTCAATGACATCTTTAATACACTTAAACATAGTGATGTGTCAAGTAAAATGTTAAGATTCATTTAGAGCTTATTTCCTGTTGCAGAACATAATTGTGATTGTAATATTTGCCTCCTGTTATAAGTCATCTCAAGATCCAATTAGTTTTAAAAGTGAAAGACTGAACATGATGAAAATCTAACATTAACTCTAAGAAGTTAGCAAGGTCTACTTACCAAATGGTAACTTCAAATGATGGTCCCACTACCTGAATCAAACACTGGGGTGTTGAGTAAAATGCAGATTCTCAGTCCTCAGCCACCAAAGGAAGTCTTGTAAGAAATCAGTACTCTGAGAGTACCTTGCAAAATTCTGATGTTCACTAATTGGGAAACCATTAGTTAAGGTGATTTCCACAGTCCTTTATAACTGTAATACTTTACGTCTGGCAGGAATGAATCAATATACCTGACCAAACGATATAAAGAAAATTAAACCACTGAGATCAGAATACTAGTAACTCCCCATAAATTAGTAATTGAAAACATAACCAACTAGAAATCTCTGGATTAAACATATGCTATGGCCTCAGTCTCATAGTGCAAGATACAACTGTAAGGTTAGTATAAGGAGGGGAGAAAGATAAGAAGAAGGAAGGAAACCAACATTTATTGAACACCAACTATGAGACAAATACTGTGCTAGAAGATAATAATAATGACATTTGTCAAACTGAATCCAGAGGGTAGATTCTTAAGCCATTTAATCATCGGTGTGAGACTACAAGAAAACAGTTAAGTAAATAACCGTATATCTGATAGGTAACAAAGAAGAAACAAGTGATGGTATATCTAGTGAATATACCAATGAGAATAAATAATGGTATATCTAATAGAGAATAATAGAAAAATAGTGAAATACATTCTGGTACCCCAATTACATTTATGAGGATGATTAAACCAAAGAAAAATGGAATGTTACAATCTTTAAAATACAATATTCAAGTACACTTTCAGAAATATATTAAAACATATTAAAATGCTAAAGAGTATGTAATAATAATCTTCATGCCTAAATTTTACAAATGTGCTCTAATGTAGTTATCACTTTTATCACTTACAACAAATTGACTCTTAAAATATTATGAAAAGAAATAAGTCATCAACAGATCAAACAGTCCTGGTGGAGGAGCGGCAGCTCCAGATAATGGCTCATCAACCCCCTGCCCATCTATTTTTTAGAAGAGAAGGGAGCCCAAGAGTCATCATTCGCCACATCCCAGCCACTCTGGGGACCCTGGGAGGAGTGTGCAAAGCCATACCTCCTCAGGGACAGCAGCATTCACAGGGATCTCACAGTTCTGTAACGAGGAAAATAAAATAATTTTAAACAAGTTGTTCTCTAAGGATGGCAGAGGACGCTGTGATTGATGCAAGGGAACCTCAGGAAATTAACCTGAGCCTCATGCAACAACAGTAATATTTGGATTGAGCTGGCCAGCTCTTGCCAGAGAGCTCATTTCCCCTTCAGGCCCTCTGTCTGGCTAAATGCTTTTTCTCTGGAAGCCACATATTAGCAGTCTGGTGTTTACCAAGCCAGGGGGTCCACTGGGAATGTTCCCTGGGCCTGGGCGATGTACTAAAGGCTTGGTCCTTGCATGGCCAGCCCCATCTTGAGCAGCTAGTCGCCAGGCCCAAGAGCCCCTCCTCACAACATCTCCTCACCCTTGGTTATGTGAAGGTCAGCCATCTCTAAGTTATGCCAGCGTGACATGGAAGATCACACCTGATAAAGGGAAGGAACAAGGTAACCAAGAAGAAAGGAGGAGATATTAATCGAATCTGGTAAAAGAGTCATTTAAAATCCTAAAATCAATACAACTAATGCACCGGCAAAGAGCAAAGACACCTGAGCAATGCGGCACACATTTGTTATTGTTAATGCCAACAGTCTTTTTTATGCTATTCCACTTAATATCACTGAAAAGGAAGTTCAGAAATTGGATTATATATAAGAAAAGTTGGAAATGTCATTTTGGGTCAGAACAACAATTCATCTAGATGCGTACTTTGCCTTTGACAGAGGCACCGGGGGAAATTTGAGAGAAAGAGTGGTTGGCACTTCCTGTGAAGCCAGCCTCAAAACTCCCATTTAATAACCCATTATAAATCTTTTCAGTACATAGATGTATCTAAACCCTTCCAGAGCCCTCTATCTGTTTTGAAATATGTTGGTATTACAGCACCAACAGGAGGGAGCTAATGCTGAATTGTTAGCTCAGCTTCCTGGCCCTCTGATCAAGGAGCTGAAATATGTTTTCTATCCTTGTGCCTGGATCAGCCAGGGATTCGACAACTCAGTGTCCTCAGGGAGCACCAGTAAGTGCAGCAAAGGGGCCATAGACAGCCCATTACGATTGACTTATCCTTGTGGCTCAGTGAAACAAGCACATAATTTGTGGTCAGCAGCCAATGTTATGAGCGCCAGCTCTACCGCTGGCTAGTCAAGGGCCCTTGGGTAAGTGTCGTAAGGTATCTGTGAATCTGGTTGACACATTGGCTCTCAAAGATTGCCACTGGCGTGCCCACTGTACCCATCTCAGTGGGAGGGTCGAGTGGGGCAGGTGTGAAGGTGCTTAATGAAGTGTGGATGGGTGTTACTTGTCATTATTAGGTCAAAAATTCCCAGTCACTGATAGTCACCCCTTGATTAATTCTCCTATCCCTCTCTTCCAATTTAAGAGATGAGACTGTAATTTAAATGTGATTAACATCACTGTCTAAATTGGTCATCTATCAATTTTGAACTGTGCTGCTTTATCAGTAAAAATGGGAGCTCTTACAACTAGTTTTGTTGCTCTATTTATATATAAATATTATATGTATATTATGGTACTAATGCTCTATGTGCAATATAACACCCATATGGAATAAAAACTTTGCAGGGCAGAAAGTAATTACAAATTGAAGTTTCCACACTCCAGCAAATCATTTTGCACACACCCTGGGTTGCATGCACCTCCTCACCCCCCATTTTAGAGACTACTGCTTTAGACAAGGATTCACGGGGGAATTCTGGGGAGGGCAGAACATCAACAAAGTCCTGAAATAGAGCATTAAGTGTTGTGTATATGTGCATTTTTCTTGGAAAAGAGCTCACAACTTTCTTCAGATATTCCGAAGGGTCCATGACCAAAAAAATATGTTATGAACTACTAACCTAAAAAAGTATTCCTCACTTCATTAAACTCTGGACTTTTCTGAACTATGACTTTCGTACTTCATCTGAACATGCTGTTTCTCCTATTCTAAGGCCTGGGAGAACCAACCAGCACCAACCCAAATTAAAGAGGTTTATCTTTCATTCTTTCACTTCCCTGCTGTAGGGCCTCTGTCCTGTCCCATAACAGGACGTGGCAGGTGTTTTGTGAACCAGCTTTGTACTTGCACAACAACATGCACCTGACCACAGTAACTTTCCAAATAAGGACAAACTTAATAATAGAGATCAATTAATGAGTTGGTCCTTTCAGGTAAAATAGGCATATTTTAGTTATAAATATATATTTAAAAGAAGCTTTAACATAAAAGGATTGCAATTCCTGTCACCATAAAAGGTTCTAAGGATAAAATTGGAACATGTTTTTCAGGGACACTCAAATCACCTTGAAGAACCAAATGTCTTCTCCTCATCCAAATGCTTCCAAGCAGAGCTATTATTTTGAG